ACTATGCAATAAACGATTTTGAATTTGACCAACGAAATTCAATTTGAGGTACGCCCTAGACAGCTTCTATTAAAAGGAAAAAATATTTAAAATTCTAATAAACATGATGGCGCCATACAAATTTTAAACCCTTGGCCAAGACCTCTCGCTAACAAAGTTGGAAATCTGCACGTCAACAAAGTTTTACAAACAAAAGTTCACAAACCCACATTGGGGCAGCTTGGCATACTAAGGCCTAAATCCTTTCCTTACAGGAGATCCGTGCCCAGCAGTAGGACGTGTAATCGGTTGACGATGATCAGGATGAATCATCATTCGTATTACCTAATTGAAATATCGATATTAATAATGATAATGCACACACTAAACTTGACAGCGTAAGTGGCAGATCTGCCCTTATATGTAACAGTGTTATTGCAATGAGTGCTAAGATTCATAATAAACTACCATCTGACATAAGGACCATTAACGATATTGTAACATTTAAAATAAATTTATTTATTAATTATTATTAATTTATTTTATTAATTATTAATTATTTTTTCAATCGAAATCAAAATATTTTTCATTTATACATTCAAATTTTTTATTTGTATATTGATGATGTAATGAATATAATTCTAATAGTAATGTCAGAAATACTAATATTATCTAAGAACTTTATAAATTGTATACATTGACTTACAATTATATGGACGTCGGGTCCGCGCTAAAAAGTGTCCGAACTTATAGGGCGTTAAAATCGTATACAGAGCGTCATTCACGCTTTAGTCTTCGTTTGTTCGACTGACAGCGAAGCAAGCACAATTAGACAGTACTGCGATGACATTACAATTTAAATTCAACGTTTTAGCTTTTTCATATTCCTTTACATGTCACTACGTTTAAATAGGTTGACTTGCGACATTTTTTTCGTGGTTTTTGTATTAGACCCGTCATCCATTTATTTGTAAGTCAATGATTGTATATGATTCTTATGTTCCTTATACTCATTTAGTTCGTACCTATGCGTTAAGGCGCAGCATAGAGGGTCACCATAATTTTCCTTACCACCATGTATTTCATGATGGATCATGTATTTCAGGAGGATGTGGTCTATAGTACTAAAACCCTTTCGGAAACCGGCTTGTTCGGGAGGTTGGAAGTCGTCAAACCTGCGAGCGAGGCTTATTTCAATGTATCAACTGTAAAATATGTTGACAAATATTTCTCCCGGCCCAGGAATCGAGACCGGGACCTCTTCGCGTGGTGGTCCAGCATGGTGACCGTTCGATTACGGAGGCAGTTAAATTCCTATTACAATTATTATGATTTTTTTATAACATCAAGTGACGGGACGAACACACGACCCAATAGGACTTGAACACACGACCTTGCTGTACCGTAGTATTGCTCATATGTAATTTTGTTAAAGACCTTTATACTGGATTTTTCGGCATTCAAAGCCGCTATTATTATTTAAAAAAAAGCGGATATGCAAATGTTTCCTAATTCGCTTTTACTATGTTCATTACCACGGAAGAAAAAAAACAATATTCTGTGTTCGTTACCGCGGCCTCGCTAAAACGAATCATAGGACCCCAAATACAAGGTTGCTGCTGTACACTGAGGAGTTGATCTCACCTGTCTGCCATTTTCCATCATCAGGCTAGCTCCATAATTTTTTTTTTTTTTTTGGAATTAAATCTTTGTGTCTAGTTTTATTGAAGTCTTGTAATGAAAAGTGAGTGAAATTGAACTGGATTCATTCACTGATTTGATACCCTTAGAAGTTGAATATTTTCTTTAAATTTGAACGGCACTACTGCGGAGATACCCCATTTCGATTAGAAAAGAGTCATCAAAATCGGTACACAAATGACATACAGACACAAAAAAAACCGTCGAATTGAGATTCCTTCTCCTTTTTTGAAGTGGTTGTGGAAAACAAAGTTTACCACTATTAACTGCCTCCGTGGCCAAACGGTTACCATGCCGGACTGCCACACAGAGGTCCCAGGTTCGATTCCCGGGCCGGGAGAAATAGTTGTATGGCCTACAATTATTTCTCTCGTGAGTTTGGGTGTAATTTGTGATTGTCTATGTGTGTGTCCATGGCACCCGCGATACAGGGTTTCCCTAGTGCGGGGCTATGTTAAGTGTGTGCGTTATTTATTATTATTATTATTATTATTAGTTTCGAATTTTCAGAGGTAGGTATTATCACATATAAATATAATAGATATGAAATAAATACTGTAGGTCTAGCAGTACAGGGGGCCTACTATAACCTTTCCAAAATCAATCTTATTTCAATGTAAGCTTATTGTAATATTATTCATATTCGTACCATGACGAACCTGTCAACCAAGTGATGTATTATTGGTATAGTGATTGAAAGAACGAATTATATCCCAATATTGTCTATTCCTTACTAAAAATAGGAAAGAGATAACGTTATGTAAACTATATAATGCCATCTCTTTCTTTTTTATGTTCCGAATCTTCTTATCGTAGTATAATAATAATCATTTATTTCAGACATGACAAATCCATAGAATTGCAATAATGTTAAATTAGAATTAAATACTATATAAAGGTACTTAATTAGTAATTAATGAAATCCAATGTCGCAGTATAGATGAGTCGCAACTATAATGTTTAATACTTAATGTTATTTACATTCAGAGCATTTTGACTGTAAAGAAAAGGAAAGTACGTAATAATAAAATGTATTAAAATTACGTTGTTTTCAATAATTATTCCGCATTTTCATGAAGAAAAATAAATAAAACAAGCTGAGTCTTGATAGTCGCGTTGTGTGTTCGGAACTATAGTCTTGTGTCAACTGTTAGTTTCGCCAAGGAGCATATAGATGGCGCTGTTATAATTTTACGAAATAAACGTCGCGTATTTTTATTTAACGTAAAATTATGCTATTAAATGAAAAAATATACAAAATATTGAAGATATATGTAAATAAATAAGTTCAACTTAACTATTATTACAAATCAATATTAAGACATTAAAACTGAAGATAATATTGTTTCCATAGCATTCGTGTAACTATTTTAAAATTGCTAAATTTGACATAAGAGCAATATTACTTTAACGTCAAAGTCGCGTCATGGTACGAACTGAGTGAATGAATAGTCACAAAGCTGGCAATAAAACATCATAGTTTTAACATTACAATAAGCTTACTTTAAGCGCGTTATGGTACGAAAAGTCAATGTAAGGTTAAAGTAATATTGTTTTAAGAGGACCTGAGCTTGCAGATCGAATCAGTAAGAACCGGGGCCCCCATGTGGCAACAGTCACTAGTTGGAGTCCAGTCAAATCCTAGGATTTTTTCTGTATATCAATAATAGCAATAAACTACGTGAATGTTTTCACATAGATACATTTGTTTTATCATTACGGTAAAACAAACAAGCAATTTATCAGAATAAAATTTAAACTTAATGTTAAAACTTTACTATTAAGAAAGAACATTATAAAATCTTTTTTTTAATCAAATATAAGTGCGCATTTGACCTCCGTCTCACCTGATGGAAAGTGACGATGAGGTCGACGATGGAGCATGCACACCGAAATAATGCCTATTCACTTTCGCCTTGAAAAGACCCAAGTTCAGGGAACAAGTCTGCAGGCAGGGAATTCCACTCCCTTGCCGTTCGCCATATAAATGTCGAAGCGTAACGCTTCGTGCGAATCTTTAGAATATCCACAACATAGGGGTGGAACCCAAGCCTACGCCTAGTCCCCCTGTGATGGAAAGGGGAAGGCGGAATTAAATCGTGTAATTCCATCGCACACTCTCTGTGATATATCCTGTAAAATACCGATAAGCAGTGAAGTTTATGGCGGTGTTCAAGGCTCTGCAGCTTCGCCTCCACTAATTCCGAGTCACCTATAAGCCTCTTGGCGCGGTTGTTAATTGAATCCAAAGTGGCCAGTTGATATGTAGCAGAGCCATCACAAAGGAGGCAGCAGTACTCCACTCACGATCGGACTTGTGCTTGGTACAGCTGAAGCAACTGTCCCGGTGTAAAGTAACGCCTCACCCTGGAAAGGATCCCAAGCTTCCTTGCTGCATTTTTGGCCATGGACTCAATGTATCTGCCGAAGTTCAAATTGGAAGACAGGTCCATTCCAAGTAGCTGGAGACAGTCGGCTATCGGCATGGATATATCACGAAAAGTCGGTGACAGCTCAAAGGGATTCCGTTTTGTGGAGAGTAGACACACCTGCGTTTTGGTAACGTTGAATTTGACAATATTGGCATTGTCCCAATCAGAGACTGCCTGGAGTGTCAAATCTAAACGGCTAACCATGGACTCTCG